GATGCTAAATCGAAGATGTTGCAACCTGTAGATTCTAGAATCTATGTTTGGTTATTCATCTGTTAAAATAGTGCGATAATAATATCTATAAAAGTAATACCATTACAAGATGTAATGCAATGAAACCTAAGATCTAAATTATATTTAGTATTAATTATTATATTAAATATTAAATCGACATGAATGTTCTTAACAATCTAACCACTAAACATAGTCTGTACGATATTATTTAAGATGTACGTTATTGTTTAAGACTGTAAATGTTTTAAATGTTAAATGTAAAACTAGAACTTAAATCTACACTTAGCTGTTCTTTATGTAATCTTGCTTTAAACAGTAACAGCGTGAGGTGGTCTCGCATCTCTGTACTCAGCCATCCAACACAACCAAAGGGGCCAGAATGAGGACACCATGAATTGATACAGCCGTAACTAACTAGCTTATAGCTGGGAACGAAGCAGCATGGGACTCAAGCTACATCCACGCTGTGGCACTTATATGTAAGAAAAAATCATTTTTACTGGGGACACTCGTCCACAGGACATCCGTACATAAGATAATGTCCGTACATAAGACACTACCCGTACCTTGGACCCTAAAAATATGAAACTCTTGTTTAAAACTAAACAAGGTCTAATAAACAAAATAAACCTACCTCGAAATACTTCCGAGGGCTCAATAAATAATAAACAACCTGTCCTTTCTTCCATGTCACCTTCTGGAGGACAAAAGAAAAAAAAACATAAAATGTCATATTTTATTTTTTGAGCCACTATATACGATTTGAAGTTGAACTTTAACCTTCAGTAACTCTCAAATATGTCGATTAAATGAAAATTTATATCAGACCTTTTTTGAAGACCGTTCAATTTCCTACAAGAATATGTATTGATTTTTACAAATCGCTGATTCGTTAGAACGCAATACAATTCCAAATAAAAAAAATGTTTTCCCGTGTTATTTAAATGGGAAATAGAAAATCACGATGAGACACCTCTTAATATTAATATTAAAAGCTCAAACTTTACCAGAATAATTTTGTTTTCAACATTCTGAACCCTATTTTCTAAACTAACTAAAAAGAAAAAAAAAATGGTCAAGTGCGAGTCGGACTCGCGCACGAAGGGTTCCGTACCATTCATTATCTATACAACATTAGATACTGTATTATTATAAACTTTTTTTCCCATTTAGCTGAAATTTTGAATGCGCGTTTATACGGTCAATTACTTATGTAATTTAAAAGAAATGAAGAAACACATTACTAAAAATTGTATTAATCAATAATAAATATGTAAAAAGTAAAAATAAATATATAAAAATATGTAAAAATAACAAAAAACTATTAAAAAAAAGTCGCCTTGACTAGGATTCGAACCTGCCTTACCACGGCTCGAACGTCATAGCAGCGTAAAGTCCTAACGCTTTAACCACGCGTCCACCGAGGACTTGAAAGATTCTATGTAAAATTTTTACTTAAAAGATAATGTTTAGTGAAAGTACTTTTTTATTTATAAACATTTATTTAATTCTGTTTTTAGTATTTGTTCTTATAGCGGCAACATAGGCTCTGTTCTCAGAAGAATCCCTGACTAGTCAGCGCGTTTCTTATTGGTTGAAATGTGTAGAAACCAGACTAACAATTAGGTTTCTACGCATTTTAACCAATGAGAAACGTGCTGACTAGTCAGGGATTCTTCTGAGAACAGACCTATAGATACATTATCTGTAAAAATTTCAACTGTCTAGCTATAACGGTTCATAAGATAGACCTTTGTGACAGACGGATGGACGGACAGCGAAGTCTAAGCTCCGCGCGCACTGCAGGGGTATCGGCGCGAGCGAGCGGCACGTAATTTTCAGTTTACGTTGAAATAAATGTAAGCCCGCACACCGCATTAGATCGGTGCGATCGGTGCGCTTCGAGCTATCGGCGGTACTCGCGCCATCAGGCGAAATCAGAGAATGCATGGGAGGGGGACTAACAGTCTACGCCGAGCGACTGTTTTTAGTGCAGCGGTTTTACATTAAACATGTCCGATGAATTATTATTCGAAAGTGTACGAGACCATATCATACTTAATATGCGGTTTTTTATAAAAATTTCTTACAAGCACGTAACCTATATTGTTTACTACATTTATTCAATAACTGAATTGGAAAACCTTCCGATTAAACCCATTTATTTCTCATCTCGTTTTGATTATTTCACATTATTATGGAAATCGAATTTAAATATCGTCAAAAAACTTATCATATTATTTAATTTTTGGTTTGTTTTGACGTTAGTAATAACAGCTGATAAATAGTCATCCTATGTTACTATGTTGATCGCTCCGTACAGGGTACAAATAGAGAAAATAATATTTATGTTTGAATAAAATAGTTGTACATATATCTACCGTATGATAGAAAAAAACGGCGTCCAGTTGGATGGGAAATGACGATTGATGACATTTCCTATATAAATTTACATATAAAATGGCACCGACCTTCATTTCATGCCCATCGCTGATGCCGTTCCTTTTCGATAATACGGTACTATAAAAACTATTTATATTTTTTCTTTTTTCAATTTTCTTTGACTTTTTTATTATATTTTAAGTTTTTAAAATCTTGGCTTTAAGTCAGTAGTGAATAAATCTAAACTTGTGTTTACATTTTGTTTAATCATTGATGTTTCGACCAGAATCTATAATATACAATACAATTCTATCACTAAAAATGTGTTTAATATGTAATTTTTTCTTACCACAAACGTAGAAAATTATTTATACGTATATTATAGATTCTGAAGAAGACGGAATTAAAATTGGTCGAAACGTCAATCAAACAAAATGTAAACACAAGTTTCGTTTTATTTACTACTGACTTAAAATAAAGATTTTAAAAACTTAAAATAAAAGCTACATATAAATGTTTGTAATGACACTTATTTAGATTAAAAAACTAAAAATAGAAGTTTTATTTGACTATTTTTCATATCTAGCTTTGTTTTTAAAGAACAAATTAAACCCTTTTGAATGATACCAAATTTGTTAAAATCGGTTAAGCTAAGAGTCATATAGTATATTTTATCCCCATCTTCCACTCTATTTCACTAATTTTATGTGGTTTGTTAAGATATAAATATATTAATGTGTGTTTGGTTAAGATCTAAATAATATTAATTTCCATCACAAAGCATAAAATATAAAAAGTTGCATAAAAATATAAATAGTAATGTAACGTTTTTAGTTCGTTACATGTCTTTTTTATATATAATATATGATGTCTGGGGCCTATCATCACCGGATTCCCTCTCGTTCAGGCCGGATAGTTTATTTGACGCGTAATTTTTACGTTCTCTAGTCGGCAACCCTGCTATCGTTTCACTGTTCTGTGGAGGCGCTGTCAACGTCGCTTCTGTCAACTCTCTCCGTGCTTAACTTCACTTGGCTTTGAGCGTCCGACTGTCACCGTCAAAAAATCCTTGCTTCGAGAAACTGCAATTATAAAAATCTTGCTGTATAATTTGAATCAGCTGCTATTTCGAAGTTACAGGTAAAAATGAGATATTATCTTTTTTGATTCGTTATTATTACTGCGTATTTTTAGGGTAGAGTTTTGGATGTCCCAACCTAACTTGTATTTGTATTTTGCTGGCACGTTGGCGTCCCTTTTCTTTTGTCCTCCAGAATGTCACATGGAAGAAAGGACATCTTTATTATTTAGTGAGCCCTCGGAAGTAATTCGAGGTAGGTTCATTTTGTTTATTAGACCTTGTTTGATTTTAAACAAGAGTTTCGTATTTTTAGGGTCCAAGGTACTGACTATTTACAAGGTACAGGCATTATCCAAGGTCCTAGTAGTGTTCCAAGGTACGGGTAGTGTTCCCTTGTACCATTATCTTATGGACGGATGTCCCCTGGACGAGTGTCCCCAGTAGGAGTGATCTTTATCTTACATATAAAGTGCCCCAGCGTGGATGTAGCTTGAGCCCCATGCTGCTTCGTTCCCATCTATAAGCCAGTTAGTAGTTACGGCTGTATCAATTCAGGGTGTCCTCATCCTGGCCCCTTTTGTTGTATTGGCCAACAGGATAGCCGAGAAACAGTACAGAGATATGAGCCCACCTCACGCTGCTACTCTTTGAAACAGGATTGCCTCAAGAACAGCTAAGTGTAGATTTAGGTTCTGGTTTTCAGTTGATTTTCAGTCTTAACTTAATAACGTACATTTTAAGTAATATCGTACAGAGTATATTTAGTGGTTAGATTATTAAGAACATTTACGTCGATTTAGTATTTAAAATATGATTTAGATCTTAGGTTTCATTACGTTATGTCTTGTAATGGTATTACTTTTATATATATTTAGTACAACTCTTAACACCACTTTCTTTGACATATAACCACTATAATAATTATTAAAATTGTACAATGCTATTTACCATCAAAGTCCGTCTTGAATAAATATAGTCATTAGTTTTAAGTATACAACTGTGTTTTCTTTCTCTGTTCATGCCTGGCGCCCAATATTTATAATTTTGAGTTATTATTGTTAATTAGTTCTTTCCAGTGAAATACCTTATCCACGACTGCTCTACCAACGAAAAGCTGCCGTTCGCAGTGGTAATGTTTATAAAAAAACGCTACAGTAATAATACTTTATAATTTTTTGAAATGCCAATGAATTTGACTAAATTTGAATAAACTTCTCCTCGTCTATGCTCAAATTTATGCTGGTGACGTACTCTCGACCGTCGATCGTGCGACTCCAATGCGCGGCTACAATCGACTTTCCGACCGGTCGTGTCGGTCGCGCCGCTCGCTCGCGCCGATACCCCTTCAGTGCGCGCGGAGCTTTTAGGGTTCCCGGTTTTTCCCTTTAGGTACGGAACCCTAAAAATATTTTTTTGGTGTACCCTAATGGAATATTGGGACATACAGTATATTAAAAAAAGCTTTAGTTGTCTTGATTTGTCGAGACAAGTTATAACAAAATTTAATTTTTGGCAGATTTGTTGTAGGTCCCTACGAAGACAAGGACTATGGCGTCAGACATCCCGTTGAACCACCAAGCGCATTCTACCGGCAAAGAGTGGCAAACATAAACAACGATCCGTCACAACATACTCGGCGTCCCAAGAACGTTGTATATCACCTTATTACTCAGATGCTGCGAATTTACAAGAAAATCATACACAGGGTAAAGTGTCAGGGTAGACATACCAGTTGTCCTCATCCATTCAGCTGTCTTTATTACGTCGCAGGCGTGAGTGACATATACATATGGTAATCGCAAAACTATTTCCGATGCACGTGATCAACTTTGAGTGACAAGCGATGGCGACAGCGCTGCCAGATTGTGATGGATTTATGAGATGAATCTTAATTTAAAAGTAACAAGCAATATATTTATTATTCATATTATATTATTATCATTTTTTAAAGATTTTTACGTTTTATTTTTTATTTTTTTTTTTTTATTTAATTTATTACTCTACTAATTTAATCTCTACTAATATATAAAATCCTTAAGTGACTGACATACTGATTAATCACGATCCTGCTCAAACCACTCAACGTAAGAAGCTCAATTTTGGCATACAGGTTGATTCTAGGGTGTAGAGGTTCGATAAGAAGGGATTTTTCGAAATTCCAGTTCCAAGAGGGTGAAACCACCCCTCAAATATTACAATATTTTTTATTTAAAAAACGGCCAAGTTTCCGAAAAAACGCTTAAACACGTATATTTTATTTTGTTTTTTTACATATTTTAAGATTTTTTACAAATGTTTACAGGGTGTTTCGAAAAATCTGGTCATTGATTAATCATGATCCTGCTTAAAGCGCTTGACGTAAAAAGCTGATTTTTTGAAAACAGATTGACTTTAGGGTGTAAAGGTTCGATAAGAAGAGATTTTTCGAAACTCGAATTATAAGGGGGTGAAACTAATCCCTCAAATATTAAAATATTTTTTATTTAAAAACCGGTGAGTTTTTCGGAAAAGCTCTTAAACACGTATATTTTATTTTGTTGTTTTACATATTTTAAGATTTTTTATAAATTTATACAGGGTGTTTCATAAAATATGACCATTGAGTAATCACGATTCTGCTTAAACTGCTTGAAGTTTAAAGCTGATTTTTGGTAAACGGATTGAATGTGGGGTGTAGAGGTTCGATAAGGAGGGGTTTCTCGAATCTCAAATTCCAAGAGGGTGAAAACGCCCCTCAAATATTACAATATTTGTTATTTAAAAAACGGTTAGTCTTTCGGGAAAACGCTAGGACAAGCATATTTTATTTGGTTTTTTACATATTTTGAAATTTTTTAAAAAAATCATACAGGGTGTTCCAAAAAGTTGGGTAATTTCTTAACCACGATTCTGCTTAAACTGCTTGACGTAAAAAGCATATTTTTGGCAAACGGATTTTTCGAAAGTCAAATTTCAATGAGATGAAACTACCTCTCAAATATTACCAAGTTATACAGGGTGTCTCAGATTTTAATCGGGAAAATTTAATAGACGATAGAACTTGCAAAAATAAAACAAAAAGTTCATATCAACTTGTAAGATTTAAAGCTTCCTTTTCGAGATACAGAGTACCATTAGAATACCAATTATAATATTAATTACCAATTAGAATTTTTTTTTGCAAGAAGTAAGCAAGATAGACAAAAAAGTCAGGAGACAAAAAAATAATATTTTTAATTACTAAATCCAAAAATAATATTAAACTTCTAAAAAAGCAGTGGCGTGCCTATTTTTTCCTTTAAAATAATTTAACAGTGATGCCCCACTGCCGCCCCTGGCCATTAAACCTAAATCTAATTACATCAAATTAAGTCCCATAGTAAGTATTATAAACGGGTCAAGTTATATCAAAATCGATTAAATAGTTTTTCAAATATCTCAATTTTTTTTTCTTTTTTAAGTAACTTTAACACCCTGTATCTCAAAAAGGAAGCTTTAAATCTTACAAGTTGATATGAACTTTTTGTTTTATTTTTGCAAGTTCTATCGTCTATTAAATTTTCCCGATTAAAATCTGAGATACCCTGTATAATAATATCGCCATATTGTTTTTTCTCATGCTGGCATAAATGTGAGAAAATTTTATCCAGTTTATATGTTATGGAAATTCTTGCTTTGCTTTATCATCACCATTACAAATGATTAATTCGACGCGAACGAAGTCGCTACACGCTAGTAACTAATATTTTAGTAATTAATTGATTTTTTTGTTTTATAGCTTATTTTACTTATTATATATTGGCAAAAACCAATCCATTATGAAGATTATTCTAAGCATTATTATGGGTTATTTATTTATTTATTGATGTACATCTTACAACGCCATAAGTGGTAATAAAAAGTGAGAGGGTGCTATTAATGAACAAACTAATAATCAGAATTTAATAAAACTAACGTAGAAATAACTTTGAAAGTGGTGTACTGTGCTTATCAATCAAACTTACTTCTCTGACTGCAGTCAAGGGTAATAAAGGACTTTTATTGTCACGTTCTCGTTCAAAATAGTTTTCAAAAAACAGGGAAGCTACAAGCTCTTTGCGTCGACTTTTTAAATGCTTCGGCATATTTTCAACACACAATTTCAAGAAATGCAATACAAAATCTCGAAAATTTAGTTCTTCAAAGAACTCTTTGTGCTTAAAAGTACAATTAAAAACACTATAAAAATAGGCAAAAAAGCGACTGACATTAGACTAATTGGTAAATAAAATAATGACTGACATTAAAGATAATTGGTAAATAATAAACGACAACCTTGCTGAAAACGGCGCAATGTGACCAACATAGCGATAATAAAATTCGGTTTAAACTAATTTTTGCAGCTTTAATCTAAATAAAATATCTGCTACAATCATTTGCTCTATAAAGTCAAATGAAGAGATGCTCGGTATCTTAAATTATACAACAAATTTAAACATTTTTGCCAAATATTCATTTAGTCAGGTTTATAAACATTAGTGTCAATGTCGATATGATTGATGACGTGCATCGGAAAATGTTTTGCGATTACAATACATAAAATGTTAAATCATAAGTAATATTTTTTTTTTAATACAGGGCACCACAAAAATGTTTAGCATAGGCTTGGGAATACAGATAACATTGAAACTGGTGCTAAATATGAAGAGGATATTTGCATCACCAAAAAATATGAAACAGATCTTTTTGAGGAAGGACATAGTGAATTTAGGACTGTTCTTAGGATTATACTCCGGATTATTTAGGGTAAGCTGTAAGCTTGAATTCTTCATATAATTATTTACTTATTAAATCAATAACAGAGAATATGTGGGAAAAATTAATAAAATTATAGGCCTATAAATCAGAGCTGACACAAGTCAATTTTGAGAAGGCATCATCATTTCTAATATCAAAATGAATTAAATCTTCCAAGTTAAATTCAACATAAAGTTCAAATGATTTCTTGATGAGTCTTAAGTCTTTGACTTAAATGATTTTATTTCAAGTCAAGGCATTTTTGTAAAGATTTAAATCAATATAACGTTATCTAAGTCGTTTTTGTGACTTAAGTCTATATTTTTGACTTAAATCATGATGATATGCAAGTTAAGTCAGTAAAATGACAAATCAATATAATTACCCTCAAATTAAGACAACCAGAATTCAATTTAAGTACCTTTTTTAAATTTTAATATTAATTTTCTTGTACTACCAATTAGGCGATTTTCTTACTAAGTATCATATTATTAATTTATTGTAGATACAGATGAGAGTAAAAATTGCATTTTTCGACTCCTTTCATATCTCGGCTATTATAACTTATCGAAAATCGAGTTCCATAGAGATTTCCAAGTAAAATTCAGTGGCGCAACTAAAACCAAGATACGAAGGGGGTCGAAAAATGTAATTTAAAATTCGCCTAGTATTTCATGAACTAAGAAGACTAGGTGTGTACTATACTAGGTGTGTGAAAAAGAAATACTGCTGTTTGTTAAATATAAAAATCTGACGTAAGCCTTTTATAAAACCTTACGGCTTAAATCTTTTTGACGACTTAATAAGTCCTTTATAAAAAGATTTAATTTTTTTTCAGCTTTCGAAAAATGAGTTAAAATCAAATGACTTCAGTCATTAAAATGATTTAAATCAAAAAATGACTTGAGGTTTCTGTGAGCTTGTAGCTCTGTCTATAATTTTAAAAAAATAGTTTTTTTATAAAAAGATTGGTTGTTTGGCACTATTTCAAAGAAATACTATACTTTGTATTTCACAGTAAGAAGTAAAACATCGATATTTGTATTTTAAAGTAATTTTCTGTTTTTAAAAGATCATTATCACCTACATACATAAATACTTATAGTAATTAATTCCTGATGAATAATTGATTATAAAGTTAAATAAAAGTTTAAATAATGGTTTTTTATTATTTTTTACAATTTTTATTTTTTACAAATTTATTGCGAATTTTTGTTAGATTAGTAATGAGCTATAATATAACGACATAAAAAAGAAATTATGTGTTTGTCTGGGCTAGACAACTCCTTTTTGTCTACGTTATATGCACGAGGAGACTTAATAATTTCTGAATTTTTTTGAATGGATCCCCTAGACGACGCCTATACCTTAATTTTCCTATACAGAGTGTTTCAAAAAATATGTGCTATCTCTCGTGGTAACATTCCTTACGTTATTTATTTTTCAAATCAACGTAGGTCCGATTCTGCTTTGTTTCGTAGCTACAGGGTGTTAAAGTCTTAATATTTTCATGATTTATTTTAATTTTTTTCCAAGTACTTTTAGCGACTCGAATGAAATTTTGAGGGTAAATGTTACTATAAATGCGACATATTTTAACGCTAAAAAAGTGTCAACATATTCACCAGGGACGTGCGTATGGGTTTTCTCTGGAATATTTTTCTAAAAAAAACATGTACGCCTTTTTTTACAGACCTTTTTTCTCTTGTTAGCGAAATAGTTTAAGCCATTTAATGCCGATTAAAAGTTGTCTCTTGATATTTTGTCCATTTCGGCTTCCTTGATGAGGTAAACGCAATTTTATTATTAGCCTAGATTCAAGTCTAATAGCAACCTTTAAAAAAATTAATATCGTTTACTTGCAAAAGTTTTAAATAAGTACTCATTGATTACGCATCAAAAAATATGAAAAAAGTTCTTATAAACATGGGTATGGAAATGCATAATTTTAGAGTTACAGGATGTTAAAACTTTTTAAAATTAGGTTTTTTGTAATTATCTTAAATACCATTATTTTTTTATTTGAAATTGCTGTATATTGGACTAATAGTAATAATAACAAACAGTAATAGTATTTAATAATAAATTAGGTAAAATATATAATTTAGTAATTTTATTTTTATTTTAATTTTATTAATTGTGATTAATTTAATATTAATTGTGATTAATAAAATTGCGTTTATCTCATCAAGGAGGCCGAATTGGGCAAAATATCAAGAGATAGCTTTTAATTGACATTAAACGGTCTACATAATTTTGATATCAAAAGAAAAAAGTCAGTGGCGCATTTTTTCTTTGAAAAATATCGCAGTGGTAACCCATATGCACGCCCCTGGTGCATTTATTGACAATTTTTTATCATTAAAATATGTAACACTTATAGTAACTTTTACCCTCAAAATTCCATTCAAATCACTAAAAGTAATTGAAAGAAAATTATATTAAATCGAAAGATTATTAAAACTTAAACACCCCGTAGTTACGAAAAAAAGCAGAATCGGGCCTATGTTGATATAAAAAATAAATCTTATTTTTACGTGAGGAATCTCCCCACGAGAGATGGCACATGTCTTTTGAAACACCCTGTATATTTTTTTTGTATATTAATTTTTAGGGTTCTTTGTGTGTACTGAGGCGGATATTCGGAAAAGACGACCCTGCTTTTGCTTTCCCAGCCAGTCTTCTTGCTGCTATATCTTTTAAGAAATATCCAGACACAACAGTGGCGCTTTACGTCATGTGGAAGGCTGCACAGGTTGTCTTAATCCATATTAGTTTTAATCAAACTCTTTAATTACTTATTTTTATTACTAGATAACGTACAACTTGGGGATACAAAAAGGATATTTACCTAAAGTGCCTGGTTTCACGGAATTCCTGTATTGCCTGAGTACCGGTATTCTGTTCCATGCGGCTTTGGTCGAACCCACCAATTTGAGGCCAAGCTATTGGAAATTCTTGCATTCCATTTCTGGAGGAAGGTAAATAGTACTCAGTTATTTGTACCTAATTTATATTTGTTTTATACAGGGTGGTCCGAATTGTATTCCCGAAACTAGAGCAGCGTATTCTGCACCTAAAAATAAGTAAAAAAGTTTGTATAAATGTATGTCCTAAAATGCTTATTTTCGAAGATACAGAATGTAGAAGTTTCATTTTTATTTCAATTTTTTTCAAATAATTTCTGAATTGACGTCAATATTTCGATGAAAATTGGTGTATCACCGAAACTAAGCCCATTTTAGGGCATCCATTTATACAAAGTTTTTAAATTATTTATATCTGCAGTATATGTACAGTTCGGACCACCCTGTATATGGATAGTACGAACTTATAATGGACAACTGTCGACCAAATTTTATCTAAATAAGCGGAGTTGGATGACAAATTGTATAAAGTCTGTCAACATTTATCTCTTTAAATAATTTTAGTAAAAAAATGTTTACTACAAGAATATCCGATATAGCTTTTTCAGTGTGATTATTCTTGCGGCCAAGCCAGTGAAATTTCGCTATTTAGAGTGCTTAAATTTTATAGTTTAAGCGTTTTTAAAAATATTAAAGTCCCACTTATTTGTTATATTTTTATATGAGTTTCAAAATAAACTACCAAAAAATTTCGTAATAAACTAGTTCATATTTTTCTATCATTGATAGGTAAAATCATAGACTTAAAATAAAATATAGACTACACTATTTACATCTCAACGCGGACAAACAACCTTTTTTGTACACATGTTTACTTCTGGGTACAGTCGACAGAGCCTTCCTCATCCAGCCTATGTTGTCACGTCTTTAATATTATCAATATTTTTTTTCTTGTTATACACATATATTGAGATATTAATACTACAGTTTAATAAAGTAGGTTTTAATATTCCATAGATGTATTAAATAGTCCTTATACTACTAAATTATAAGTCGGATACTGTTTAATAAGGATAAGTTCTTTACAATATGACAACACCGATTAGAGGCGAGGGAGCCTATTCATTCATTTATTACCTTGTAGTACGTGTCGCACGTGTGCGGTAAAGCTTTGTTGCCGCTATCTCCGCGGCTGTATTAACGCATTTTCTTAGCTTGTAGTCCTTAATTGTTTATTTTATTGACTTTTTCTGTTCAAAAACTATAAAATATGGTTCGCCAGTGCCAAATTTGCAAGAAATTTGACTTTAATAATCCATTTAAGTCTTGAAACGACTTTTGACCGGTAGGCAACTCTCAATTTACCCATTGGGAGTCAGTGGCGTTGTTGTAGAAAGGCGCTTATTTAGATAATATTTTAGTAAAATGTAAAATCTGATTTTTTTCTCTTACATTACATTATTTACTTACTTACATTGTAACAAAATCATAATTATAACCCTGTTAATAATAAATAATGTTTTTATTAAAAATATATTCCGGTTTATTCTAAAATTATCTTCAGAATCTAAAATAACATACAAGAATTTTAAAATGATATTACATTATGAAACAATATTTTTTAATATACGGGTCGTCTCAAAAAGTGGCTCAACCCTATAACTTTTTTTATTTTTCAGATAAAAAAAAAAAAAAAAGATTTGTATGTTAGTAGGTATATGACATAAATTAGGATTTATTGACGTATTCAATTGTTTTTGGTCTCTTCCTGTTTCACCGAAATGATTACATCTTTTGATTTTTTAAAGGCACCCTCAGTATATTGCTACTTTATTCGATAAAAAATGACACTCTGAATAGAATGACATATCATATGTCAACTTTGACATTGTCGCTTAAAAACATATCCTATTTTAAATTTCAATCCAGTTTTTTCAATCCACTAAGTTTTAATCAAGGAGCCTTGGAAAAATAGTTTTGATCGTCTAATAGGTTTCGTGTCTTGTCTAGGCCGGTTAAAAGATGTACAAATCGTATTTTTAATCATACATATGTCAATTTTTTCAAATGGAACAAGGGTGACTCATTAGCATATTTGGAAAAAGCATTTTTTAGGAATATATTGATACCACACACTTGGTATTTCGAGTCAAATTGTCGTTATGAACCGCGTGTTACAATTACAATTAAACCATATGCGAAAATGTCAAAGTTGACATATGATATGTCATTCTATTCAGAGTGTCATTTTCTATCGAATAAAGTAGAAATATACCGAGGGTGCCGTTTAAAAATTAAAAGTTATAGTCATTTCCGGTGAAACAGGAAGTGACCAAAAACAATTGAATGCGTCAATCAATCCTAATTTATTTCATATACTAACATACTAAATCTTGTTTTTTTTATTTGAAAATATAAAAAAATTATGGGGATGAGCCACTTTTGAGACGCACCCGGTATAATAAAGACAGTACCGAGTTATAAATGTAGTTTTTATTTTATCCACTTCCTATCACCTTCCTTGCTTTAATGGAACAGATTTATGTTTGCTCTAATTTACATAATAAGACATCACTTAACCAGAAAAAAAATTACAACAATCATATTTTTTTTCTCTCCCTGTTGCCGATTCTATTATATCTGTGGAATAGATCCTGTTTTGATTAATATTAGGGGTTGTAAATGTTTGACTAAAATTAATAATTTATTATTAATTTCAAAAATTACCTAATTTCGATGATAAAATTTCTTCTATAACGTGTATTTTATTATTTTTATCCTTTTTGGACTCTAAATTGTTTTTTCTAAACTTTTATTTAAAAAATCTTAATAAAATATAAAAAAGTTTAAATACGATATATTTTTAATTTAATTATAGCTTCATTAAAATAAAAAAATTACCCGGCTATGATACTCAGGTGTACTTGAGAAACGAAAGACAGTGTTGTGTTTCTCGGCAGAGTCGTCAGGGAACGACCGTTACGACAGAGACAACCTATCTATCGCTCGTGTCGCACTCGTTATAACCTAAAACAATAACACAACAATAACAAGACAGTGTCTGACCGCATGTTCCAGCTATTTATGAATGAGATGCTCAGTCTATATTTTATTTTAAGTCTATGGGTAAAATATAGTCCTATAAATATTAATCTCATAGTTTTTTATATATCAAATTCTGTCTATCAAATTTTGTATATCTTGTCAAAACGTATTAAAAAGTATTTGCTTTTCTACCTTTTTTTCTATTGAGGTATACCGGGTGCGTCTCAAAAGTGGCTCACCCCTATCACTTTTTTATTTTGTTAGTTAAAAAAACGAGATTTGGTATGTTAGTATATGACATAAATTTGGATTGATTAACATATTCAATTGTTTTCGGTCCCTTCCGGTTTCACCGGAAATGAATACAACTTTTGGTTTTTAAATGACACCCCCGGTATTTTTTTACTTTATTCGGTAGAAAACGTCACTCTGAATAGAATGACATATCATATGTCAACTTTTGACATTTTCGCATATGGTTTGTTTGAAATTATAACTTGCGGTTCGTAACAAAAATTTGACTGGAAATATTAAGTGTGTGGGATCAAATTATTCGTAAAAAAATGCTTTTTCCAAATGTGCTAACGAGCCACCCTTGTTCCAGTTGAAAAAATTGAGATATGATTAAAAATATGATTTGAACATTTTCTAACTGGCCAGGACATGACACTAAAAACATTAGACGATCAAATCTATTTTTCCAAGGCTCCTTGATGAAGAATTAGTGTTTTTAACATATCCATGGAACTCTAGATTGAATTTTAAAATACAATTTTTTATTAAGCGAGAATGTCAAAAGTTGGCATATCATATGCCATTCTATTCAAAATGTCATTTTCTATCGAATAAAGTAAAAAAAATACCGAGGGTGCCATTTAAAAATCAAAAGTTGTAGTCATTTCCGGTGAAACAGGAAGTGACCAAAAACAATTGAATACACCAATCAATCTAAATTATGTCAAATACTAACATACCAAATCTGTTTTTTTTACCGGAAAAAAATAAAAAAGTTATAGGGGTGAGCCACTTTTGAGACGCACCCGGTATTACTTTTATTAATGATTCTTTAATCCGATCAAATAGCAGCTTGGTTTTATAAATTAATATAATTGATATGAAGAAGTTTATGTAATTTAGAATTGTCAAAGATAACAAACACATAATAAATTTGGTTTATTTTTATCAATATAGATATTATATGTCGGATACTTCTGAAAAGTAAAAAAAAGATTTAGACAAATAATGATATCCACAAAATGACAGAAAATACAATTTACCTGTGACTTAAAATGGCAGACATAACTGTCCAATGTCCCAATATTCCGTGGACATGGAACTACTAGGTATTTTGGGAATCAAAATAAGTTTATTGAACACAATTTATCTTTATACAAAAGTGCTTCGCTTGTCCGGTAGAGGGCATCAAACTTTAACAAAATAAACACATTTTTTCAGATATTTTAAAAACCGTTATTCCGATTTGAGTGAGATTTTTGGTGTCTATGTCTCAAAATCTTATTTAAATCGGAATAATGGTTCTTAAAATATCTGAAAAAATGTGTTTATCTTTTTAAAGTTTGATGCACTCTAACGGACAAACGAAGCACTTTTGTCTAGAGGTAAATTGTATCCAACGAACTTATTTTGATTCGTAAAATACGTACTCGTAGTAGTTCTATGTCCACGGAATATTGGAACACCTTGTATACTCTACAAAAAGAGCAACTGTTTAGATTATATTATAAGATATATTATATTATATTATATAATCTTAATTATAAAATAATCTTAGTAATATAATCTTAATAATTATATTATTAAGATTATATTATAATTTTGCAAAAAAATCACTGGAAATATTTACCGTTTTGTTTAAATATCTAATTGTAAATATTTATATATTTTATGGTTACAAAATTAAATTTGTTTGGAATAGGAAATAGGTTGTAATGTGTCACCACAGGAACATAATTAGATATTGTAAATAGACTTTTGTGGTCTCATTACGTTTAAACATTATTTGATTACGACCTTGGTACATTTTAAAAATTCTTAAAACAACAGGAATA